CTTTCGAAACCTCGATTACCAGGATTAGAATTCAGAAGGATACGTCGAATTAACAGTTCCACGAAAAAAAACATCGATTAAACTGCAAACTTTTTGCATTTATAAAAAAACGAAATGCAATCTAGATTTCATGTTTCAAATTGACATCACAAATACATTATTTTACGTAAACGTCCGCGGTTCACTCCCGCCACATTTCGCGAGAGAAACGTTTTCTGGGTACTCGCATCGCAATAAGAACAATGAGACAATAAAAACGATGAACATTAACCGAAGTAGTAGAGGATCGTGTCGGAATCTCGTCGCCCCCGGCGACACTGTACAAATGCGATAATTTATTAGATAAAGAACGGCTGACGGTGTTCGGAAGACCGTCGGCCGTGAGAGGAAGACAGAGTGTAACCGATGCGCCCGCGGCACCGTGGAAAGGGATGAAGATGAAGTCGTTAGAAAAACATCCCCCGAAACGGCTGTCTCTTTGATTCACCGTTTCCTGCTCGGTCTCGCCGACCGATTTCGTTATATTTTCGTCCGCCTCCGACGCCTCGCGCTTTCTCTCCCTCCCCCCCTCCGCCGATGACTCGAACCCGTCTCTTTTTCTTCACCGCGTCCGTCTCTTCTTCGTGGCTTTCAGGGCGAACGCTGAACGTCGTCCACGCGCACAAGAAAAACATTTCGACCGTCGAGGCTGGCGCACACCCGAGCGCGTGTGCGCTCGCGTGTCACGCTCGTGGAACATTCGTGACCCGCGCGGAAGCCGGGCATAATAATTCATTGCTCGTAATTTGTTCTTTTAAACGGATGTAAATGTGCCTACAATTTGGATGACTCATCCGGTTTCCAATCCTCGGTGAATCTCGTACCTATTGTTTCCGCGATTCGACGTTCGTTAACGTTGAAGAACGACGTGTTCTGCAATGACGCGTTACATTTATCTAACAGGCCGTACGACGATCCTATGGATCTGCCGTGCACATAGAAAATAGCAGGGGCCTGCTATAATTTATGAACTGGTCCGATAGCCTTAAGAAATTGCAAATTCATCGTCCGTTCCGAGCATGCAAATACCTACGCCTATTCGCGTCGCCCGTCCAGGTGTTGTACTTGTAACCGCCTTGAAGCGCACGTGCGCACGTTTCTGTGTGCGGATTTAATGCAACGGGCAGAGGCGAGGGTTACGCGGATTTAGCAGGGACCGCTGTGACCCAGTAGCCACGCTCAGTTCGCGATATTTTCGAGAAGACACAAGGAAGAAAGAAAGGCAAATAAGAAAGAGTAAAAATGTAGTATTGTTTTTATTCAATACGCTTCGGTTACAAGAGTTAATTAGCGTTTTTCTCGAAAATTGGATCTCATTTAGATGCTTAGATGTATACCGCGTACAGAAAAAAGAACGTAGAGATAAGGCGAGGCCGAACGGAGAGGTGAAAAATAAATGCTCGAAGGGAGAGAGACCGGAGTGGCTCTCCTCGCTCCTTTATCTCTCGTCATCACTTTCTCCTCGGTGCCGCGTGATTTACGCTGTTCTTGTCTTCCTTAATTAGGTTAAGGCTCTCGCGTCGCGTTTTGCTTTGTATCCCGGGAGACGAGGAGAAAACGAACGAGTCACCCGCTTCCGATACGACTGCGAAATCCACTCCGACACCCTTGTTGAACATTAATCGAGGTGTTGTTCGCATTGTACAAACGCTGGGACGATTTATACGCCCGAATCGCGAGCCAGCCTCACGCTTTCGCGCATACTCCGTTGCTCGACGAAATTTATTGCATATTTTCATCGACCTACCTGGAGTAATGCCGTTGTAACGACGTATTACGAAACGTGTCTCTTTCCCGGAGTCGCTAAGAACGAGTCATTGGCATCGGTTATCAAAACTCTAATAATTTCAAATGAATCGACAGCGCGTTAAGTAATAACAGTTATAAGTAACCTGGGGACGTTTTATGTACAATAATTTTATGGTATCAGTCAAGAAATGCATTCGATATTTTTGATATTTATAATCTTTATATTTTACTCATATTTAGTTTTTTTATGAATTGTATAAAATCCGTAGGTTGGTTATTGGTTAGCATTTATAATCGTACGATCTGACGTAATTATCGTTTACAGAATTTCAAAGGATCCTCGCGAGGTGTATGTTGTCACTGAGTTGCCATTAAATCTTTCCTCGTCGAAGCGTTTTTCTCATGGCTTCCACCGTGGAGCGATAAAAAATATAGCAGGAGGATTGGCATCGTTTTAAGTAGTATACGCCTTCTACGTCGCGGTTGGTCAGACGTTGCGCAGTAGTTGCAACCGCCGAAGGCCGTTCTAGGTCGTTCGGTTAGCAACCATTAGGCAATCCCGCTTGTACTCGCCTTACCTTACCCAGTGGCTTTTATCCTTGTCAGGATTGAGAACACGATACGATCCGATCGATTCGGCTATTGTGTCGCGTTGCAAAATCGTTTCTTAAATATCGAACGGATCGTCCGATTTTCTACGAACTTACGTCTCGTGTCACGCCGTATATTTGCATAATCGATAATTGATATTAAATAAAAACTATGAACATGTATACTTGGTTTTTTGTAATTTTGTTAAATTATCAGAGCGACGTTGTTTGTTTCAGGCGAAACCTCCCGGTGGTTGTGAAATCGCGGATCGTTTCGGGTGCTGCAGGCAGCAGCTCGTGGGACGGAGGGAAACCAGAGGATTTATTAACTTGTGAGGTACGTTCTTGCATAGCCACCCGGCACTCGATAAAACGTATATGTATACCTACGTTCGTACACGGTTTCGTTGGTCTGAACGGTAAACTTTTTCGTTTGCGCGCAAAAGTACATACGAGCCGCTCGTTTATTCGGCGAGTTCTGCGTGTGATTAAATAAAACGTTCTGGACCAACCGCGTGGTATCGCCTACCATTGGTTCGCTCGCGATGGGGGCACCCTTTTCATTTAAACTGGCTGCCGCTCGTAAGAAATAATGCCGGAAAAAAACTAGCTCGCAGGAATACGCTCCGCCTTTTAACGATCGCACTTAACCGTGCCTTTTCGCGCTCACGCCGCGCCGCACTGCTCGCGAAATTTGCGATCGCGCGATCCCGAGTATAAAAATACGAAACCTTTAACAGCGATCCCAGCTCTTACGAGTCCCACCCTTTTTCTTCTATAAAACTTTGAAGTCCTCTTAAGCACCGGTATAAATTTCGCGTTATTATACGCGGCACTTTCTCGCGTTTTCGCAACTCCGTTCATGCTCCGCGACTATTAGAAGATTCACACATTTCTTTTTATTCCCCATTTCGTTCCCCAAACGTTTGGCATTGGTTACTATCGATGGTAGACAAATACGAAGGGGGTCAAAGTACATATTGGAAATCGTTTAAGGGCTGAGGGTCAACTCCTTTGATCGAATGATTAAATTATGTATGACTTGTTTTTAACTCCGGAATGATATAAACCAGAACGGACTCAATCAATAACCACTCGCAGGCGTTCCTCGTAATTTAAATAGCAAAACAAGTTCACGAATGTCCGAAGAGCGCACCCAAAACCTAATCCAACTCTCATAAATCTTCTCCGTTATACGCGAATGACGTTTCCGTTTTCACCACGTCATACGGCGCTGCTCTAAAACTGAACCTCTTTCGGTCCGGTTATGTAACGCTTTATAGACCATAACGAACCAACGATAGATCACGCGATCTTTTTTAATATTTGACCGGTCACTCCGCGACGATTGCGAGGGACGCGGTGGCGCCTGTTCTCCATAGACAGGTACTGTCTATGGTCAACTATAAAGGCCATCTGTTCGCTTTTAGAGTCTCCTTTATACCGTCGGTGACGTCATTAGGCGGCACAGATAAACGTGGACGAACTCGCCCACTCGTCAGTGCCATCGTGGTCACTTTTCCACTCGCGTCTCTTCGCTTCACAGTCGTTGAGATTCTGGCCAAAAGTGAAATTTCCATTTTTATACATTCGCCCATTGCGTTCCTTCTATGAACCGTCGAAAGAACGACTTCCAACTGATTTAAAGTTTCGGCGCACCATGCCGTCTCAAAGTCATTAGTTTCAAAACTTTTACGTGCTTCTTTCGAATTGTATTTCCATTCGTCATTGTTCGATTCTCTCGAGTTTCGTCTCGACCGATGCCACACGTTCCGGGCTTTAACGATCGTGCATTTAATCAGCTTTTCGAGGAATATTTCGCACAACTGGAGATGGTTTTGGCACGGATAACGCGGCTGGATTTATTGTCATTCGTAAATCAGCGGTTACGCCAGTTTCCACTGGCTTCGCGAGATGCTCTCACGATCCACGTGATCCTGGCGACGAGACTTGGCCGAGTTTCCCGCGGTTCTACCGGCACCCTATGATCCCTCGACCGTGTCACCTTTAACGAGCTTTTCGCACGAAGAAGGCGCGTTCCTTCGCGCGTTGCGCGGACGCGAATTATTATTTCGCGGTGGAATTCTTGGGTGGTTTTGCTTTATTTTTATGCACGTTCCTTGTAACGTGTTGGCGTGGAAGATCGATCGCACCGATCCGAATCGTATAAATTGTTGTACATTTTTTTCTCTGTTGGCCGTCTTCCAAAATTGTTTTGCGAAAACGTTACCTTACCTCGTGACGGTTGAATTCAGAATTTATGTTTTTCTAAAACTTCCCTGACATCAAACAAATCACGGCAATCTGATTTCATAAGCAGTGAATCGTAACGAGACGAATATATGAAATATTCCATGTCTACGACTTGGACTCTATCGTACATCATCTTATCGTGATAATTTTTTCTTCGGGAGGGTGAATTCTCTATTAAAGAAAGGTTAAATGGATCGAGCTAATTGCAGGAGGAAATAAGTGAGTTTGTCGGGAGCGCCTCTCGGCGACGTTCCAGCGAGTTATCGCCGTTTGGCCCGATGCCAGGCGTCCCGACGCTTGCCGAGAGGGTGGACCGAGTTCGGCCGAAGACGGCGTCCCGGCGTCGAGCGTCCGTCAGTGCGTCTGTGACATGGCTGCGAGGCGCTACGGCGACCTAGACGCCCTCCACCTCGCGATGTGAGAACCCGCAAACGGTCCTCGAACGATCGCTCGCAACGATCCCACGCGTTTCTTTTTTTTTCTTCGCTCCCCCTACGACTATTTTCTCTTTTTATCGTAACGAGCCGCGACGTCCGACACATCGCAAGGACGACAGTTCTCCGACGCGACGGTGCCAGTAGTACATGCATCGCGATCGTCTCGGATCTACGACCTCGCGACTCGGGAAGATACTCGACGAGCGCGCAAGTCTCCGGGAAAAATTCGTTCCTCTTACTCACGAAGCTGGAGGAATCGTCCAACATGTTTGTCTGAATCCCGTTTACGCTCCGACAGAAGTAGATCGTGTCCGGGACGTACGGTATGATATCGTTGCGTCACGAGGATTGGAAACTTGGAAGGATTCTGGCTCTGCTTCCGCTGTAATCGAGGGTGAACGTTCCGAGTTACGAGTGATGCAATGTGGAATCGGTTCGACGAGACGTCGTGAAAAAGGATACGAGCGATTCGCTTCGTGGACAACGCGATGTGACGAGACGAGTGGTCAGAATTTCGAAGGAAAAACGAGTTGTATGATCGTGCGTCTCGTGGCGAAGCCGAACGAAGCATTCCCGCAGCGAGACGATAATTGCATTCCCTGTTAATAAATTCGTCGAGGAATGTAGAGAATTCACCTCGCGAAGACGTTGTATATAAATGTTGAGAGATCGTGGACCATGAGCTTGCTCTTAGCGGGTGGACCTGTAGGCTAACAATTCTATATTAAATGTTTTCACGATATTTATCGCGAGTCAGTAACCTTTAGAAGAATTCGATCGACGAAGGATGACGTAGAAATGATCAACGGATCGTGTGTACATGTTATCAGCTTGTATTATGACTACTGTGGTTCTCGTGGACACGTTGGTTCAGTGAAAGGGTGAAATGCACACATTGGATTATGCTGCAATAGACGGTATACAGGATTCTCGATGATCCAGCAGTCGTGGCAATGATTTTACTGGCGTACGGCTGGATCCCCGTCGGGATCGTCTGGTGCATCGTGGTTTGACAACCGCCTTGACGAACAGTACGCCAGTAACACGAGTTACAGTTCAAAAGGCCGATGCGTTTATCGACGAAACGGTGGCTTCTACTGCTTAGGCCGAGCGAACGAGAGGAAGACGACGACAAGGAAGAAGAAGAAGAGGAAGAGGAAGAAGAAGAAGAAGAAGAAGAAGAAAAAAAAGAAGAGGAGGAGAAGCGTGCTCGAGGAAAGCGCGCGCATCTCGTTTGATTTACTTCTCTTTTCCCCTCTCGTCTGGACGCGTGCAGCAGCCCGTGGCGTGCACGTGCGTGTGTACAGTGTCCGAGGAACCGACGATGGAATATCGGTGAAGTCACGAGGTCACCGCAGAATGCCTGAGCCGAGGGCGAAGCGCTGCAAACACTGTGACGGTACAACAATTGATTGCGATGAGGGTTGTACGGCTTCCACTTTCGTCCGACTGGGAAATGCGCACTCGTGCCGTAACACAAACGACCCTTTTAACTAACCATGGATTAATAAAACGTTTTCCATTAATGATAACCCTCTTCCAATTTGATCGATCGACCGATCGGTCTTTATCGATTCCTTCGCCCTTTGCGTGGGAGGTTTTCCGCTGCTGTTTTGACGTCGATGTTTGTCTTATTCGTCGATGTGTGTACGTGTGTATATTGTTAATGACTCATAAGTGACTTGGAAAGTAATAATGATTTCTTGCATGGTATTTATTGCTTTTGTTTGCACTTTTTATAAACCATGCAGCTGGTGAACATTGTGAATACGATGTAAGGAATATAAATGAGACACGATTTTTTATTACATTAAAATTTTATACACAGCTACTGAGAGCCCAGTAGATCCTACAAAACGTATCCTGTCGAGAGTTGATTTTAGCACTTGAGAAAGAGTGGCGCGAAAGTATTAGTGAATTGCTTGTTTCTCGGACTCCATCTCCGGTCCTGTCGAGGAAAGCCAGATGGCTGGGTCGTAAAGCCGGGCGAAAGGTCCAGTTTCCGGTGAAAACTCGGTCTTAATTAGGCCCGCGCGGAAAGGGAGAGAGGGACGGACAATATTATCTGTGGGTCATTTATGTCTGCGGCTGTGACCGGACACTTGGACCGAGCTTGAGGCAGACCAAGGCGAACCGCGCATAGCGCATTCCAATCGGATGGCAACCACGTCCAACTCACGTCCATTCCCCTCTACTCTTCGTCCTTTGCTCTCTCGCCTTTCCTCTAGCTTCGTCTCTCGCGTTCCAGCATTGCCAGTATTTTTATCCCCGGTTATTCACCCTCTTATCTGCGAATATAGACGTCCCTTGTCCACTCGAATCCGCGATTTCTTTCCGCGTCGTGAGTCTCGTGGAAGTACCGAATAATTAGCAAAGTTTTTGGAAGCATAAACATTTCAGAAACTTGAGAGTTTTCCATGGATCATCGTTAGTAGTCATTCTTTATTTTTCACGTTCGAACGACGTCGACCCTTGATACGATTTTCTCTCTTGGGTCCCCGCGTGCTTGACCTTTGAATCGGGAGCGGGGGTCACGCAAAAGTTTCTCCACGCTCTGCGGCAAGCTTCACCGGAAATATTTGCGGAATCGAGCTCAGTGTCAAGAGACGTTCTGCCCCGGAACGGTTTATTTGAATTTCTTTCGGTCGATCCCGATCGCCTATACAAACATCGCGAGGCCGCTGGGTATGGTAACGATCACTTCGGGTATTGGCCTACATTTTTCCCCCGTGGCGATTCCGCTCGCGCCGCGCCCCGGTCGTTTCGCAGTCGTATCTCCTTTTTGTTTTTACGAAACGTCAAAGCGCCAGTCCGACCAGATGGCTGCGATTAAAAAAAAAAAGAGAGATCTCGCTCCCTCTCCGCTTACGTTTCCATTAAACCGACATGGGTACCATCGTCTGCATCGGGGAATTCTTAAACAAAATTTATAAATACGCGAGTCCGACTCTACGTTCTTTTCCGCACACCCGATGCGACGGTGTGCTAGGTCTTATAAACACGTATTTACGTTTCGCCGTGGCAAGTGAAAAGGGTGCCGAGGTCCCAAGTCAGAATTAAGGCGCACATTGATTTGCATCGTACACCCTTGTATCGTTAAGGACGGGCAAACGTCGCATCGTCGTACAAATAATGCCAGTGTCTAATGCCCAAATAGTGTGCACACTCGATGCACATGAAACGCACGGTACGACAGGCGTCCGGGTGAAAAATGGTAGAGGGACGAGTCGATGATTACGGGGAGTTCGTTCCTTCATACGCGTCATTACCAAACGTCCGCCCCTTTTAATTACTTTTTCCATTAATCAGCGACGGTGGCCCCAGTGTCAAAGGTCGTTAACCTTCGTTGAAAGTAACCGCCCTGTCATGAGTCAATCGACCTTCACGCATACCTCTTTTCATTCTATTTCGTGGATCCCAAATCTGGAATTTTTATAATGCCAGTATTTTATTTGTCACGTGAATTATTTTGGTTCCGCGAGCCTAGCAGCGCGAGATCATAAATTGTCGCTTCACCAAAACTTTGTAACTTCTCCGAGATCGTTACGACGATAATTTATTTGTTTATGTATTATGTAGAAGATTATGTCAAGAGATTTACGTGTTTGAATAAAGTTACGGTATTATTATTAACTCGAGCGTTGAACAGGAAACGGTTAGACACTCTCTCTCTTCTTGACTCGTCTGTTTTTTGTTTAATCAAGTGAATTTAACTTTTCCTTCTTCTCTCTTTCTTTCAAATACGCATGTAACAACGGTGCGACTCGTTAATTTAGATATTCCGAGAAGACCGTTGTTAAGTCTGGCATAGTTTTAGCGCGATAACAATAGAAGCTGCGATACGACCGGCGTTCGGTACCGATATTTCCACGGGCCGAAGCAGAAACGTTAAAACAACGGGGCGTTAAAGGCGCCATACGCGCCGAATTCCGCATCGATGCATCAATGTTTAATAATACGAGCGCGTTTTGCGACCGGTAACGGGGCACCGGCATTATATCATTGTGGAGGTTTGGTTTAACTATAGCGCCGCGCGTTACGGAGCCCCGAGAATGGCGTAAGGCGAAATTACTCTCGTCTAAAGTCGCCGGGAAACGTCATCGCCAGATATTCGATCGAGCCGAACGTACCTCGAAAAATAATCGTCTATTTCCAATCTTATTCTCTCTATCTTTCTTTTTCTCTTACACTATCACGCCAGTTCTCCAAAGATAAAAGTTTACCGAGAGACAGTGAAATACCGTGTGCTCTGGTCGTACGCCGTCTTTATTTCCGCGGATTTTTATCTCCACGTTACGCAACCCCAGGATTATTTCGAATTTTTATTCCTCCTTTTCTTTCTCGCCCTCGCGATATTTGCCAAGGCCACCGAATCATTGTGAGATCACGTGGGTGTAGCTGAGCGATGGCTCGATCATCGGATACCGGAATACATCCAACGCATATTTAAATATAAACATAAATTAAAACTGTCCGGCTAGTTCGAACCTGTGCCGTCCACTTATCTCTTCATATCTACACGTTGCCGTTTCGTTGTTCCCTTAAAGTAGTTGTCCACTTGTGTCACATTCTCTTATCGTATCACCGCGTTGTACCGATCGTCGCGTATCGTCGTTGTTCTGGGTAGAAAGGCCGGGACTAGTCGTCTCGTCGGATTGGGACGGGGTAGGGTGGCATTTAATAGTGACTCCGTCGTTTTCGCGAATGACGATCGTAAACTCCGGGCCCCAACAGCTGTCGATGGGAAAACAAAATCTAAATTTAAACCTGACCGCCGCGAGGGATGAGATACATTCTACCGATCCGGACAATAGTCAGTAGTCGGTGCGAAGCTTTCGACCTTTCGAAGCCTCTGAGATTCCGACTCGTCCGATTGGTCGATTTAGGACGGCCAAAATTATCGGCGGTGCAGCCGCTCCGTTAAGTAAATTCCACCGAGTTCTACGAATTTCATGGATTGTTACTCTTGCGTTAAAGGGAAAATCACTACGGCTCGATTGTAAAGCTTTTTGTTTCATAGCGAGTTCACGCGCCGTCGTTCTGGAATAAATCTGACGACTTCTTTCGTTTTTAATTCCTTCTCGCAATTAATCAGAATAACTTTACAAGAACATAAATAGAATTGTTTGAACCATTAGGCAAATTAATGATCGTCTGGATTTCAATATATCTGTTTTGATCTAGGCGAGAAAAAATGCGCAACGTAGTAGCTGTCGTTCAAGTTCCTTGATCCTCATACCTCTCATTCGATATACTATTTATAGTCGCAAAGGTTAATGAAACCCTCGGCGAACCACGTTTCGTTGTATGATACTTTTATGTCACTAGGAAAATCACTTTTTCGCAGTATCCAAACCGTGATTGCTTTACTACGAGTCTATCGAACATTGTCGAAATCTTTTGATTTGTACCTCATTTTACTCGTCGATTACCGTAGACCAAAGTGGATCATCGCATTGTTTAGCTCAAACGAATACGTCTTGAATTCTTTGCAAACCCTCTGGGGCCGGCGACGCGACCTTCGAAGGGCCGACCGAATACGAATCTGACGATTAGGGTGGTTTAGGGACATTTAGTTCGATTATTTATCGGTACGGTATGCAGCGATGCGTGGGTAGCGGGTCGTTCGTGTTGCCCGATGCTTTTCGTTTCGCTGGCCGGTTTCCAAACAGCGACACCCTCACACCTACAAATTCCTTTTTGCTCCGAGGCACGCGAGCGTGTGCGTGGATGCCGCGTCGCGTCGCCTCGCGCCGCGCCGCCGGCCTGTGCATACTTTTGCGCTTCTCGACCACTGTTACGCGTCTCTTACGCGCAACTCCTGCGCCAGTTACGTCGTCGTACCGATTACGTCCGAGCTATCTCTCCGTCTTTCGCGCACTTTCTTCTCTTCTCAGCTTCTCTCGTCCGTTCCTTCCATCGTTTCTATCGTTCGCGTCTGCACGTATATTATTATTATTATTGACAGAAGAAGGAGGGAGGTTTGGGATCTTCGTATATGACGAATTAGATTGTGCAATGCATACCACTGCACTTTACATTCTTTATATTTTTGTATAAATAGATAAAATCTGCGGTCAGGAATAGTGCTAAGAGTAGGACGAGACATTATTGATGCAATCTCGATAATTTGTATACACGCACATATCTGTATTGTTTTAATCCTTACGAAATCTCTGAATAATTGCCAAAATCTAATTCACGTTATCGGAGTGAATAGAAAATATCGTAATGGGGTTTGGGTACTCCTACATTAAGGTTTAAGACTTGGGCACGCGAGGCTCTTGTTTTTACGACTAGGTAAATCCTTGACGACGAGCAGGAGGTGTATTCTTGGACCCGAATATCGCGTCGAGGAAGTATAATCGTCAAACAGGAAAATGCACAGTGTATTAATAG